TTGTTTCTCTTTTGCAGCTTTCAGTATTGTCTCTTTGTTCTGTATGTTTAATGTTTTTACTATCGTGTGCCATGGAGAATTTCTTTTCTGGTCCTGTCTGTTTCTATATGCTTCTTGTATTTGTATGGGCATGTCTTTCTTTAAATTTGGGAAATTTTCTCCTATGATTCTGTTGAGGATCTGGTCCATGCCATTATCTTGGGATTCTTCTCCTTCCTGTATGCCTATGATTCATAAGTTTGGTCTTTTTATTGTGTCACAACACAATTCCTGCATATTCCATTCTTGTGATTTCTTAAATTTTTCATAATCTTTGCTTGAGTAGTTTAGTTTTTCCACTTTATTTTCCAGTCTTGATATTCTGTTTTCCATTTCATTCATCCTATTGGTGTGGCACTCTCCTGTCATTTCTAATTGGCTTACTGAGTGTTTCACTTCCTTCTTCATTTAAGCCTGAGTATTCTTCAATATTTTTAACCCTTTTCTGAATTCATTTAGAAGTTTATCCCTGTCTTCCTTCAGTTCTTTGGGTTTTTTTTATGTGTTCTTTAAATTCACTGAATCTTTTATCATGTTTATAATTCTTCTTTTGAGTTCCATGTCCTGCATTATCTCTATAAGGGGTTCTCATTGTGCTCCTCTAGAGGATTACTAGTATTTGGTGGGGATAAGTTATTTTGGTGTTTCATGTTATTATTTTTTCCTTTGTGATTCTGATATGTGAATTTCTTTTTTAGTTTCTGATTCTTGTGTGAAACTCAATCCTTCAAGTTTAGGTCTGCTTCTTTTTGTGAACTTTATGTGTCTTTGTTGTTTACTTTTTGGACATGAAAGTCTGGTTCCTCTAAGCTTCCAGTTCTCTCTTTTGGTTTTGTATTGGAGTGGCCAGATTGCTTTTGCCTTCAGGAGTTCCCATAAAGGCCCAAATCAGATGAGGATCAGATGTTCTCAGGCTTTCTCCTAAGGTCTGGATCCCTGCAGGATAGATTTTGGCCTGAGGAATTTGGGGGTTGGACTGAACTGGGAGCTGGGCCCAGGAAAGATGCTGGTCTAGGGCAGTTGGTGGCCATGCCACCCAGAGATGCAAAGGAAGATGAGGGTGGGAGGCAGCCCCAAGGGCCCCTGGGGACTGCACTGAGGAGCTGGTTTGGTCTGGATGCAAAGGACCAGGAAGAGGAAAGTCAGCCCTGGCATCCAGGAAAGAGGCTGGAGGGTTGTGCAGACCCAGGAAGGTGGAGGGACGTGAGGGCAGGGTCAGGCCCAGAAGCAGTGCTCCTGGGGACCTGAGAAATAACTGAGTTGCTCTGGATGCACAGGATCAGGAAGAAGCAGTGTTGGTTCCCCAGGTGTCTGGGGGCCAAGACAAGGAATGGGACAGGACCCAGGCTAGGAGGAGAGACCCCTGGGGGAGATGGGAGGGTCAGTGAGGCTGGGGGAGTCAAGGCGTGGAGGGCCCAATCGATTTACCCCAGAGAGAGAAGCCTGCGTGTCAGAGATAGGCCTACAGGTCCTCAGCAATACAGTTTTTTTAAATGCATTTTCTAAATGTTCTGAAGTCATGTTTCCCTTTAATGTATTATTATTGTAGTAAATTATTATTTTCTAATCTTAATATCATTTTATTATTATTATCAAAATTTGAATTACAAAAAACTATGGTTTTTCTTCAGTTTGAGGGTGTGAACATTAAAACAAACTCGACTGCATAATTTGTGGTAGTGGGGGACTACATTTGTGCTCTGCCCTGAAAACAAAAAAAGTACTTAAATCCTGTGTTAGAAATTAAATTTTGATCACTACCATTAGAGTTTATTTTGCCTATATTGATTGATAACTTACCTCTTTTATTAATTACCTGGTGTTAAGTAATCTACTTGTGAGTTTACTCTATTGCTTTGAATAATCAAATGTTACTTTATTTTCTTCAGACACATATCACGTTTTTGTATGATTAACTCAATTACTAAAATAACAGAATTTGACAATGCTTCAATAAATAAAACATTTGTTTTAAAGTAAATGTATGATAAGGGATTAGATATTGGTTATAAGTAGCAGGAAGTAGATATGCTTACTCATTCAGTTCTGACTACTATTGTAAACATCACCTACCTCTGATTTCCACAATGGAAATAGGCCATGTCACACAAAGTCAAAATGCTTTTTTTTTGTCTTATTGAGACAGGGTCTCTCTGTAGCTCCAGGTGGCCTGGAACTCACTATGTAGACCAGGCTAGCCTCGAACTCACAGAGATCTACCTGCCTCTGCCTCCTGAGTGCTGGGATTAAAGGCGTGTGCAACCATACCTGGTTAAAAATGCCGATTTTTAAAAGTACTTTTAGACCTATATTTTCATAATCTTTGTACATTTTAGACTAAAAGAAGCTTTGCTAGTGGTTGTTTTAGTGTTACTATGGAAATGAAGCCACATAGAAATAGAAAAACTGTAATGATTTTAATAAATAAATTTGAATAGAGATGGCAATAATATCAATGCGGTATAAAAATAACATTTTTAATCAATAACAAAAAGTTAACTAAGATTAGATAATAATTTAAATAAAAGTTTGTTATATTTTAAATAATTTTTCCTAAAATCAATTTTTTTTTTTCCTTTCCTTTTACAGTCACGTTCTTTATCCAGTTCTCCTGTGATGGTAGCTCAGCCAGTTTATCAACAACCTGCATATCACTACCAGGTAGGCACAGAGCTTCCTCTGGACTGAGGGAACTGGGGAGATGGCTCAGTGGATAAAGTACTTACTGCTCAAGGACCTAAGTTCAGATTCCCCAGCACTCATGTAACAACCAAGAGTGGCTGCATGTACCCGTAACCCCAGTGTTTCAGGGACAGAGATAGATGGATCCCTGGAGCTCATAGGCCAGCCATGCTAGCCAAAATGGTGAGCTCTAGGTTCAGTGAGAGAAACTGTTTCAAAAACTAAAGTGGAGAGTAATAAAGATATCTGCCTAAAGTCAACTTCTAGCCTCCACACTTGTGCACACACAGATGAGCACACATGCATACCTGTACATACATAAAACACATGTACATGCAGGCATACTCTTGGGCTGAAAAAATAATTCAGTGATAGAGCACCTTCCTAGCATATAGGAAGGACTAAGTTTGATTCTGAGTACAGTAAAAAAATCTTAATACTTTAAGTCCTTTTTCAGGAAGCTTTCTTTTTTCCATTTAAAAATTTTTATTTTTATTTTATGTTTGAGTGTTTGCCTCCATTTATGTATGTGCACCATGTGAATTCAGTGCCTGCAGAGGCCATAATAGGGCATCAGATCCCCTGGGACTGGAGTTAGACATGACTGTTAGCCACCATGTGGGTGCTGAGAACTGAACCCAGGTTCTCTGCAAGAGCAACCAGTGCTCTTAACCTGTGATCCAGCTTTCCAGCCCCTCGTTTTTTCTTTCTCACACAAATGCTAATTAAAAAGAGCTATGTCTTGAAAGAGTTTTCTTTCTTTAGCAAATGTAATGAGTTCAATTTTGTTCTCCTGCTTAAAGTTGACTCTAAATAGCCTTTAATGGACTGGGAATGTAGCTCAGAGGCAGAATGCTTTCCTAGCATCCATAATGCCCTGGGTTCCATTCCTGCCAGCACCAACACCACCAAAAAAGAAAATTTAGCAATAATTCCCAAAGTCAAATAAAGATGTTGAGCCATAAGCTGATTTTTTCTGTTACTTTTAATTTGTAATTATTACATATAATGCATTATAAACATAAGCAGTATGTTGTGATATATTATCTATTATTGTAGCCTCCTTTAGTCAACCCACACTCTTCTTTAATTCTAGTGGGAGACTTGGAGTAAGTGAACTGTGATATAAGGTCAGACTATTTTAGTTTAGAGCAGGATCAACAATGACTCCTGAACCAAATCCAGGCAAAAACTTGTTTATAAATAAAGCATTGTTGGAATGCAGCCATTTCTATTTATGTAGTATCTATAGTTGCCTTTGCACTAGAGTGGAAAGTTGGGTAATTGTAACAGAGTTCTTATGGCCGGCATATCTTATAATATTTGCTCTAGCCTTTTACACACACACAAAAAAAAATGTAAATCTGCGGTCTATAACATTTACACATAAAATCATATTTTTTCATACCTCTGAGGTAGTGAAAAGAGCTTTCCCTTTTAACTACCTTTTTTTTTCTTTTTGAACTTCAAAAATATACTCCAATGAAATGTGGAAGAGTTAGAAATGCAGTTCAGTGGATGATGCTCACCTCACATGGGTAGGGCCCCAGAGTCAATCCCTAGCAGTATAAAAGAAAGAAGAGAGGGAAGGATGGATCATGGGAGAAGAAAAGGAAAGAGAAAAAATAAAAAGGGGAAAAAAAGACAGGGAATGTGGCTCAGGTGGTAGAGTACTCGCCTAGCATGCAGGAAGCCCTGTGTTCTGTCCCAAGCACTACTAAACTGGAAGTGGTGACCCACACCTGTAATGCCTGCACTTGGGAGGTAGAAACAAGAGGATCAGAAGATCATTCTTACCTATGTAGTACGTTGGAGGCCAACATTGGCCATATGAGACATTGCCTCAAATAAAGAGAAAAGAAAAAAAGAAATTACTGTTCTAAACCTGTCTTACTATTAGATTTACTTTTGAGGAAATCTTTTTTATTATCATTCTGTTACCATACTAATAAAACTAAGATATTTCCTTCACTTATGAAAACTGAAAGCAACTTAATGGAATGTACTTAAAATGCATTTGTAACCAGGTGCATACCTTTAATTCCAGCACTTACTCAGGAGGCAGAGGTAGGCATATCTCTGAGTTCAAGCCTGGCCTACATGGTGAGTTCCAGGCCAGCTGGGACTATAGGGTGACACTGTCTCAAAAAATAGATAAAATAAATTTGTAGGATGACTTTTTAAAGTATCAGAATTTTAACTGAGGCTGAATAATGTGAAACCAAAATAATGTGAAACCAGTTCTGAGACTCTTAGTTCATTGCCCACCTACAACACATGTAAGAGGAAGCTGAGATTGATAAAGGAAGATTAATAACCAGGCTTTCTTTAACAAGTGTTAGAATGCTATGGCATTCCCCTCCCTCTTCAACCAAGTGAAGAAGACTTCAGAAAATGACTGAGAGAGCTTAATATCTGTCTCCTGGATCTTTGGGGATGTTGACACTTTGGATCCAAACTCTCCTAAGAAAATCAGAGTAACCGGATGATAAAACCAATAAAGAAGTCTATAGTAGGAATCTGTTGAAGCAGAGGCACATACTTCCCACAAACAAGCTGTGGACCTCATAGAAGAAGCTCCTTCCCAAAAATAAGCGTGACATCAGTAAAGAAAAAAACGTGAAAAAAATACACACACACACACACACACACACACACACACACACAAAACCTACAATCAGCAGTTCCTAGAAAAAAATATCCTCAAAGACTCTAGTAAAGTACCATACTAGACAGTCAGCATTTGGAATCTACCAAACTCCAGAACAATTATCTGCCCTCGATAAAATCTAGGGACAAGAAAGAAGAGCACAGTTCCTTTAAAATATCAGAAGTGGAACTGGAAAGATGGCTCAGTGGCTAAGAGAACTGGCTGCTCTTGCAGAGGACCTGGTTCAGTTCCCAGTGCCCACATAGCTGTTAACAACCATTCTTAACTCCAGTTCCAGGGAATCTGACACCCTCTTCTGGCCTCCATGGGCATTGCATGACATAGGTGCACATACATACATGCAGACAAAACACTCATACAAATAAAAATTTTTAATTTAAATAAAAATGAAAAATAATGCTGTACTTCAGCCCAGCTCCTTCTGAATTAATTATTGCTATAGCTCGTTTGACATGTCAAATGTAATTTTGAAAATTCTAATTTAATTTTATATTTTGGTTCCAGATTTATACCCAACACAAATAATTAAAGATGTGTTATCTATATGTACACACACGTGAAACATTTTAATACCAGTTTTTAAATTAATACTCTATAACAATTTACCTTTACATACCTCTTTCCAGTTAGATATTCATGATACTTCTTCCCTTAAAATTTCCACTTTGATAAGAATCTTCTTTATTCTTTTTACTTACAAATTCTAAATTGACAGTTCATTAGTTTCTGTTATTCAAACCAGGTAATACATGGTTAATTAGTATTTACTTCCTTCATACTGTTTTTCACGTTATAGTTTCTTCATTTAGCTACCACAGCCACACGTTAAATGTATTTCAAGATTTTTTTTAACCTGCTTTTTTTTTTTTTTTTTTTTTGGAACCGGTCTCCCTGTAACCCCAACTGACCTGGAACTCACTATGCAGACCAAGCTGGCCTTGAACTCACAGAGATCCATCTTCAGCTCCCTCCCAAGTGCTGGGATTAAAGGCGTGCACCACCACACCCAGCCTCAGATTTCAAATTATCTTTTTTTTAATATCTTACTTATTATTTTTTATTTTTTTTACATGTATGTGTGTATTGCTTGCATGTAGGTAAGTGCACCCGTGCCATGCAATGCCCGCAGAGGACAGAAGACACTGTCAGATCCTCTGGAACTGGAGTTACAGACAGTTGTTAGCTGCCATGTGGGTGCTGAGATTCGAACCCTGGTCTTCTGCAAGAACATTCAGTGTACTTAACCGCTGAGCCATCTCCCCAGCCCCAGATTTCAAATTATCTTAGTCATCATTATAATGTAGCGATATCATCCCTTAACCATTGAAGGGGTCAGCACTGTACTCACAGTGATTTAGTTTAGATAATAGTTCTATAAAATTGTTTCCCCCACCCCTCTCTCCCCAATAATGAGGAGTCCTTACTAAAAATGAACAAAAATAAACCATACGTTTTTAAAATAATACAAGTACCTTAATGTTTTATATTTTCATCTTGTAATAAGCACCTTAAATGTATTAGTTTTCTTTTTTAACAGCTTTATTTATATATAATTCACAAATTATTCAGCCAATGTAAGTATACAATTGAGTAGTTTGTACTAAATGTTGAGTTGATATATAATCATACCAATATCAATTTTAGACTATTTTAACCACTCCCCTAAAAAAACTTTAACCATTATCAGCCATGCCCTTTTCTCCCTAAACAGCCATTATTATTCTCTGCCATTTATAGATTTGCCTATTCTGAACACTTTACATGAAAAGAGTCATACAACATGTGGTTTTCACGATTGCATTCATTCACTTGGCATGTTTTCCAGGTTTATTCACATAGTGATATCTATCAGTACTTCATTCTGGAATAAAATCTCGTTTTTCCAGTCAGCAGTTGACCATTTAGATTGTTTCCACTTTTTGACAGTTTTGAATAATGTTTTGATTAACATTATTGCCAATTCTTTTGTGTACATGTGTTTTCATTCCTCCTAGATTTTTTATGATCACTCAATGTTTAATTTTTAAGGGTCATACTGTTTTTTAAAGGAGTGTGCCATTTTTAAATTCCTACCAGAAGATTGCAAAGGTTCTAATTACTCCACTTTTTATTATAACCATAATATTGTATATCAAATGATATCACATTGTGGTTTTGATTTCTATTTCCCTGAGGGGTAATGATGTTGAATGCATTGAGTCAGTATGCTTACTGACTGTCAACATACATACGCACATATATATTTTTGAAGAGAATTATATTCATGTCTTTGTCCATTTTTAAATCATTTGCCTGTTTTTAAAGTTTG